CTTCTTTCTACTTCTCTTCGAATTCCCATTGTTTTGTGTGGCGCATATATATTGGCGCTCTATTGTACCAATATTTATGTGTTCAAATAAATAAATAAACGCAGTTGTTAGGAAACGGGTACTAGGTAAGGATGGCAAATCAATTGATGACGTAGTAAAACTTCATCAGTTGAGATGGCTGGGACACGTTACGTATGCCCAACTACCGACTGCCTCGACGTGCGATGCTCAGTGGTATGGGAGTAGGTTGGAAGAGAGCTAGGGGCGGCCAGACCAAAACATGGCACAAGTCCATGAAGTCAATGACAAGTGGAGTGAGCCATGTTGGTAGGCGTAGACTACCAGGTTGGGATCCGCGAGATGATAGCAACCAGTGGTTAGAGACCTTGAATGATATGGCTCAAAATCACTTGCAATCGTACAGGTACATCCACTCTTTGTGTTCTTCCATATTCTAATCTTCTGAATTCTTAATGTCCCTTTCTTTTTTCTCTTTCCAAATTTCTTTCACTGGATTATACTCTTGAAATAACATCTTCAAACCCTAATGTTTCTGATTACTGCTTATACTCTTACCACCTCTACCACAATAGGATTTGAATCGACAGCTGCATCTCTATGCTAATGTGGTATGGCAACTCGAACTGATGAACGTACGTACGAAGTTCTACGTTGTTACTGACTGACTTCCTCTTTCGCCTCCCTCGTCGAGTGTCTCCATAGTCAACGATTTTACTGCACAAAACACTGTTCTAGGTCTACTGAAACCTCGCTCCAAACAACACATTGCAGCCTTCAACGTACGCACATTATGTCAACTTGGTCAGCAGGCTTCCTTGGCTAGAACCCTAGAATCTCGCACCATCGATGTATGCTGTGTCTCTAAACACACATACAGGATCCTAGTGTGGCCATCCACGTCGCCTCACCTCGGCAAAACGGAGAGCCGACGAGATACACCGTCCGTGTATCATTTATTTATTTATTTGAACACATAAATATTGGTACAAGAGAGCGCCAATATATGCGCCACACAAAACAATGAGAATGCGAAGAGAAATAGAAAAAAAACCAAGGAGCGCAAAAGAAAAAGAGAACAATAACGAAGAGATTGGTGTAAGGTAGTGTGGTAGTAACGAGGTACAATAAGAAGAAATCTTTCAGGTAAGGAAGAAACAACCACTTTTTATGAAGAAGGTAAAAGAAGGTTACAGCAGGATCGCCACTGGCTTCTATTCTGAGCCATATCTGATAACGTCTCTAGCCACTGTGTAGCACCATCTCTCGGACCCCAACCAGGGAGTCGTGAAGGTCCAACACAAGCCAGTCCTTTGCAGCTTTCTTTCATACCACGACACCATGTCATGCACTGACCATCTCTCCGCTTCTTCCAACCAGTCCCAGAGTCGGCAAATAATGCACGACGTGGAATTCTCTGGGACGACATTCGGAAAACATGTCCAAGCCACCGAAGTCGGTGTTTCAAGATGGTGACACCAATTGAATTATCATCTCTGTGCCCGAACACACGATGCCGAACCTCTGCATTACTGACATGGTGTTGCCACTGAATGTCAGCAATCCTTCGGAGACAGCGATGATCGAACACAGAGAGTCGTCTAACGTCCTCAACTCGGAGAGGCCAGGTTTCACAAGCATAGAGCAAAACTGCTCTCACCGACGCGTTGTAGATCCGACCTTTTACAGCCAGACTAACATCACGAAGGCGCCAAAGGTGGCCCAGATTGGCATAAGCCGCTATGGCTTTCACTATACGTGCATTGATCTCATCACTCACACCCCCACCAGCACTTATGCAGCTACCCAGATACACAAACTTCTCGACTACTTCTATTTGCTCACCATCCAGGGTGAGTACAGGATTGGGATCCTGCCAGTCTTGTAGAAGTACTTTGCACTTCGAAGGTGCAAAGCACATACCGTACCTACGGACACTGGTTGCCAACTGATTAAGTGCGGATTGCATGCCTTGGGCATTATTGCACAGTAAGACAATATAACCCGCATACTCAAGGTCGAGAAGTCTTTCTCCAGGCAACAGATCCACACCGCCATTACTTACATCCATTAGAGCTGTTTCCAGAATGTCATCGATGGCAAAGTTGAAGAGGAATGGTGAAATTGGGCAACCCTGTCTAACCCCACTGCTCGAATGGAACAATGGAGAGAGGTGGTTGTATGCCCTCACTCTGTCTGAGGTGTTTTTATATAGGGCTTTTAGGATGTTAATAAACTTCTCAGGCACACCCTCCTCCAGTGGACAATCCCAGAGAACAGTCCTGTCCAACGAATCGAAGGCAGCCCTGATGTCAAAAAACACTACGATTGTTGGCCTTTGATAAGTATGGCGGTGTTCTAACATTTGGCGAAGGGTGAAGATATGATCAATACATCCTCGACCAGAACGAAACCCAGCCTACTCCTCGCGAGTCAATCTTTCTCGGGTTTTGAACAACCTACGAAGTATGACGGAAGCCAATAGCTTGGACACAATCGGAAGTAGACTTATCCCCCGATAGTTGTTACAGGAACGACGTGAACCCTTTTTAAAGATAGGGACAACTATCGACTCATTCCATGACGTTGGTACACTCTCTAGTTCCCAAACCTTTGTAAACAACGTCGTCAATTCCTTAGTCAAAAAGTCACCACCATCTTTAAAAAGAGCCGGAGGTAAGTCATCTGGGCCAGGTGATTTGTAGCGCTTCAAGAGTTGGTCATAATCACTGATTTCCCCAATATGTAAGAGGTCAAAGTCATCCTGTGATAACCATAGAGGGATTAGTTTAACTAATATAGCATGTAAAATAATAGCCTCGATAATTATCGAACGCCTAACTAAGACTCATGAACTGCAAATACGAGAAAATCAGTTTGGCTTCAGACCTGTTCGTGGCTACATCGACCACATATTCACTATTCGTCAGGTTTTAGAACACAGGTATGCTTATCGGGGTTCGACAATGGTGGTCTTTCTTGACTTAAAAGCAACATTTGACTCTGTAGACAGAGAGGTTCTGTGGCTGTGTCTGTCACCTATGGAAAAGGCGAGATGTCAGTCTATCAATGAAAGAACGGGTATACCTCGCGGCAGTTCGTTCTGTTTTACTTCACGGCTGCGAAACGTGCCCATTAAGAGTTGAAGATATCCGTACGTTGCTAGTATTTGAACACAGGTGCCTTAGAAATATTGCTGGGATCACCGGGTGAGTAATATTGAGGTTAAACCCAGGGTATTAGAGAATGATGGTAAATCAGTTAATGAGGTTGTGAATCTTCATCGACTGAGATGGTTGGGCCACGTGTAGTGTACGCCTGAACACCGATTACCACGACGTGCAATCCTAACCGGTGTTGGAGATGGTTTGAAGAAAGTAAGAGGCGGCCAAACTAAAACGTGGCATCAGTGCTTGAAGTCACTAACTTCTGGTCTGAGCCGTGTTGGTAGATGCAGACTACTTGGTTGGGGTCCGCGTGACTCGTAACCAATGGTTAGAGATGCTAAATGACATGGCTTAGAATCGATCACAATGGCATAGGTGTATACACTCTTTGTCTTCCCTTAAACTATGAGATTAAAATCGCTTCATATCTTTCTTTCTACGTACTAAATCTTTGTTCCTCTAATATACCTTTATATGCAATCTTTGTTTAATATATTACCATTGACTTAACTACTTCTATGAATCCAATGTTCATCTTGCTGTGCTAATGCGGTATGGCAACTTGGACCGATGCATATGTGTGCCTGGTCCTACGTTGTAGCTGACTGACTGAGTCATCGTGGTAGACAAGCCCGATCACCACATCAAGGTAGCAGCTACAGTCGGGAGAAAACAGTAGGATGACGATCCATAGGAAATCCATTCTTAAATGTAGTTATAACTCAAGGAAGTCTTTTGACATGAAAGGTCTTAACGTGTGGACTGCTTGTTTAAGTAATCTTTATCATTATTTTGTTGGTGTATGCAGATTATTGATGGAAAATCAATACATTAGAAGTCGTCCAGACATAATGAATTCATCTAAAAACTAGTTTACCTTGGTTACTTTCTGTTGGGATGATTTTGGTTATACTTCCTTTTATAGTCTCTGAAGCTGTTTACACAGACCTTTAGTCGTTAATCGGGATGACATTTTGAATATATTATCGAGAGGTGTCCAAAAACAAGGTATTGGAATAATAAAACTAGTAAGACTCTACAATTTCTAAGTTGTTCCAATCAGGATAACACATATCATTTTGTGCAGTAAGTTGTATATTGGTAACACTGAAATTCCCAGTAAGAGTCTGGTTCATGTGCCTTCATATCCTTAATCCGTAAAATTTTCGTCTACAAAACAGATTCATTAGCTGGAGCAATGTAGATGACTGTGACACCTGGGCTACCTCATTAAGATACTTCCTTACTTTCTATTCATTTCCTTCGACTCTTTTTTTTAGAAAATTTCGATAGTGTAATAAGACGAAGACCATCAGAACTAGTGATATACTAGCGCGATACATTTTGAACAATCGGATCACACATATACTTGTTAAGAACATTTATATATAGAAAGAAAAGGTCAACTAGACTAGAAATGGAGGGTAAGAGGAAACAAGGATAATAAAAAAATAATATGAAAGAAATTCGAATCGTCATCACTCTGGATAGTAAGCTAATATTACTAGGGTGGGTTCAAGGTGAAAACAAGCTGCATTTGAATACACAAAGAGGGTTTAGCACTCCGTTAGTCTTATTATTTTCAATAACCTGCTTTTCTAAGTGGTTTCCTCTTGATGTAACGTCGGTTGTGAGTAATTGAAGCAATAAACAACTATAACAGATTCAACGTTTATCTGTTGCATATTACGAAAGTAGTTATTTATCTCGACAACTACCGTCACTGACTGTCGCTTGCAATATTGGTATGAAATATGTAGTGGAAATATAAAATTATGATACAGTTAGTAGAAATGGTTACTTCGGGACCTATATCTCCATCATCGATTGACCGTTTGTTAAATGGAAAGCACACTACTTTGGTTAGGTATTTCATGAAAAAGGAACAATTTGAATCCCCTTACATTAGTTCAATTACTTGGCTAGTGCTACTGTATTCTAAAATATACGCGTTTGTGATTTAAAGATTGATTCTATGAGCGAAGCATCATTTTGATCACTTTGTGTGATCCTATCGTGTGTTTTTTTAATTCGGTCGTCTCATCAGTAAGAGGATAACTAGATTGTGATTACGATTAAGTGAAATGCCAGAATGACTACTTTTTACATTTAGAAAACAAAGTATATTAATATGCACATATATACAACTTCACTGATCTTCACTATCCATTGGTTCTGAAAATACACCTAGTTCCTGCTCTAGTTCTGATATGGCTTGCTCGATTTCATAGTTTTTGCCAACCAAACCGACCCACGATTCTTCTAATTCCTTGAGATGTCTTCCAGCAGCTGTTTGCTCTTGTTTACGGCGCCAGTTTATTTCCTGGATTTTTCGCCTTTTAAAACGTAAAACGAAACTAAATGAATGAAGAACTGAAAAATCTTTGAGCTAACATTTTGAGTAACAACTTACTGAACGAACGTAAACTTGCCAAGTGTATAACTTCAATGAAAATTTAGAAACCACGATGTGACTAACTTTACTGTCACAAAGGTTCAAGAGTTGCTTCTTAATACTGAATGAATAATGTCTTGTGCTTATATGATAAGCACTCTCAGAGATGGGGACATTTTATTTTGGATAATTAGAGATTGGTAAAGGTTGATTCTATAAACTGTATATTTTTAACCACTTGTTCATAGAATCAGAATTCTAAAAAATATACATATGTTCTGACTCATATTATTGGGATTTTTAATACTGCAGGGAAGACGAAACCCTTACTCCACTAAGATATCATCAAAAACGGATACTTTTTAAACTATATAGTCATGCTCTTTTGGAGTTTTTGAAAGTACATTAACCCCCGCAGTGCATTCAGGTGGGAAAAAGATCATAAACCTTCATAAAGACACTGATGGTTCCCTCTCACTACATCTTCGCTTCCGTCGTAACTCCTGCTACCCAAAAATATCGTCTTCCCAACTTCCCACCTAGCGTTAATGATACGAACCTAGGAATCAGTATTCCAAGTCTCCTTAACTAGTTTAAAGCCTTCGAATTCATAGGTTCCTGTAGAATAGAACAGTATCTCCTACTGTCTTCTCAAGCAATAAATACAGAGAAGATTGGAGTGCATTTCCTTTGATCTAAAACACCTAATATATATACATAAAACTGATATAACTTGTGTCAATACAATTCTGTAGATGTAAATGTTAAAATATTATCAGGTTCCAGGGTGCATCTTTACCTAAATCCAGTTGATAACTATCGGTGGCTTTTTAGCAAGAAACCGTAACATTGTGAGATCGACATGTTAACCCAGTTTGCAGACCGACGGGGAACATTTTAAGCGATATCAGGCGGATTTTTATCAAAATATATGAAACTTATTGTAAGAACACAAGTTTGGCTTTAGTAAAAAGAAACTAATGCACGATTAAGATGCCTAAGCAGGGACTGATATTCTGGAGGGACATCAGTCAATCACAACGTAGAACCTATACGTACATACATCGGTTCGAGTCACCGTAACCCATTAGCACAGAGAGATGTTGTTAGGTCAAATCGTGGAATAGTAGAGGTAGTCACAGTACCAGTAATAGGAAAGATTAGGCATCGGAGATACACTTCGGAAAGAAAATATAAATTAGTGAAATAAAAACAAAGCTATGAGGAATTCAGAAGACAAAGAATGGATGCATCTGCGCAAGTGAAAACGATTTTGAACCATGACGTTCAAAGTCTCTAGCCACTGGTTACGATAATCACGCACACCCCAACCAGGTAGCCTATACCCTTTAGTGTGGTTAAGTCTAATTGTCAGTGACTTCGCAGACTGATGTCATGTTATAGTTTGGTCCCCCTATCTTTTCCAGCCTGTACTAGAAAACAATGCCCATCGAGGTGGAAAGTGGCCTGGCATAAGTAACACACACCTCAGTTTATGAGGATTTACTACCCCAGTCGATTTCCTATCTTTACGTATTACTCGAACTCAGGCATTGCTTACTCCATGGTCCCAAGATAAGCAAGCAAGAATTCGTAGACGCCTATGATCGAATGCCAGTAACCTGTGAATATTCTCTATCATCAATGACCATGTTTCACGTCCATAAAGTAGAACGGAGCAAACTGCTGCAAAATAAACTTCTCCTTTGGTTGAGAGATGGATATCTCGCCTGCGCCACTAGTTGGCAAAAGCTAGTCGAGCCCTTTTAATTCATTTTGAGATTTCGTCATACACCAGTACCGACGAAACTCCTAAGATAATTGAGGCAGTCGATATGTCTAACTACTTCACTCCCTATCACTAATTAGGATGATGACGCAAGTCAATCCTGAAGTAACGTTTTGTAATTTGATGAGAGAAAACGGCATCCCAAACAATGCTTGGATTAGTGCTTAAGGTGATCGGATAATTTTACACTTTATCAGCATTTCCATCGAACAGGACTATATCATTTGCACATTTTAAGTCAACAAGTGAATCCCCTGGTAGAAGATCAATCCCTGAAAATCCAGAGGATGTGTTATCTCTAAAAGCATGTCTATGACAAAGTTAAATAGAAATGGGGAGGAATCCTGTACAAACGAACAAATCAACGTGTCTAGACAATAGCCCGCTTTTGATCAACATTAAAATTAGGACGATACCCGAAAAGAAAATATTGAGTTATAAGCCCGACCGATGATCTGTCGGTCAAGTCTAACCGTTCACCCAAGTTTTTGAATAAAAACATTCCGTAGCTTCCTATAGTGGCTGTAATTTTTGACATGAGACCAGTGCTAGAAGTATACTAATCATACTTCTGAAAGCATTCTACTGGAGTACAGACAGTCATGCGAGGGCATATGGGGAATCTTCTCCTGATGAGTACTTCAGATAATGCTGTCGAGCGCCATCAGTTTCGGCTTTTTTATAAATATACTAACGAATTCAGCCCTGGTTAGCTCTAACTTTACGGAGACTAATAAACTGACAACATTATCTGGTCAACCTATAATAATTTTAGATGCAGACATAAATCTTAAAATTTTCTCAGCTCTCCGTACCTGTCTAAAATTATGCTTTAGGCTGATATGAACAAAAATATTTTTTAGGATTAATGAACTAAATCTTTGGGTGCGAAAACAACATAATCTACCAAGGGTATTACAGAAGCCCTCATATTAGTGACTCACAGGTTCACAAGGTTTGAAAGAGCTTTTGTTGACCTGAGTTAAATACAGATGTTAAGGCATCTGCACCCCAACCAGTAGGGTGGAAAAGTGTAAAACAGACCTCCACCCAAACCCAAGACAGTGGGACAAGGCGGATGTATTTGTGCATTATGGAACGTTAGTGACCAATGTTAAGATAACGTATACTGCTATCAAATAGAATGATGTTAGTCACACCTCGACATAAGCTCAGCCACTGACTAATTTAGAGTTGGAAACAAACTAACGAAAGCAGGGATAGGGCATGGAATTAGTGAAAGGGATTGATTTTTTAGTGTGAGTAGTGACTTCGACATTTTACGAGTTTTGTTTACAAAGTGAATACATGTTAATTGAGTTTGGCCCATTAGTTCAAAAACTTGGTTTTCAAGCAGAAAGTGGTGGGCTCACATATAGGAAGCTAAATAATACCATTAATCCTCATAAAATAAACATTTCATAACCAAAAGGGTAACCCTGGTCATGATTGCTGGGTTTTTTACGAACTTGTTTCTCAAGGCTTGACCACAAGAGACAAAAATAGGGGACCTCTGCCAACTAACTCATATCGGCATCAGACACAGGTATTTGCACAGCAATAAAGAGCTACATCAAATTTTGTCTGCAGGGCGAAATTACCATCTGTTTGTTATTTAACCTTTTTATTAAGTGTCTAATTCTTGCTCGCTTCCTATATGTTGTGTTAAAGAGATGGATTTGGAAACGGTGCATATATATAATTAGCTGTCGAAGAACAGCAAGCTGGGTTTAGTCATGGAGGATCACAAACTACCTTATTTCTAAGAGCTCCTTCTCGTAAATTTGCAGAGAGCTTTCCAAAACATTATTGTACTGCTTCCAAGCATTACATCCATAATCTGCCATTAGTTCTAAATTCTCAATTCTTGTTGCTTGGTGTTCTAACTGTGCCTATTTGAGAAACAAATTAGGTATAAAGACATCATACTTCAGCGTTTTCCATTGCGTCTTGCCATGCTTTCACATCAGTCATTTTTCCAGCCGGGGGTGGGGGTAGCTCGTAACGTTTCATACTTAGCATTTCCATAGGCAAACGATTTGAGAGCCTGTCAAATTCAGCTTTCATCACCTCAGTCTCAAACTTCATTTGAATAGGACCAGATAAAGAAGGGAGATGTTCCAGATAATTTTTCGTTGGTCTATATCGTTTCATCTCCTCTTCGACGAGAAGAGCTGCAGCTTCTCTAATCCCAGGATCATCGTATCCTTTGTCGAAGTACGGGAGAGCATCAACAACTCCAATGTGTTCAGACGTCATTGTACGCTAAGCGAATTAAGGAAAAGTCAAAACAGAATTAGTAATAAACCTCGGAATTTAAGTTCGTTATCTTGATATATCAGCGTCCGTAGATCGATATGAAAAGCAATGAGTTCAGTATTTCATTTGGAACAGAATATTTATAAATCAATAATAATATTGTCACACTTGCACATTCAAAAATGGTGTCTTAATATATATACATAGGAAATTATATTCATGAGAAATACCGTCGATATGGATAAACAATGATTTTAAAGTAAGTCACTAGGTGGAAAAGTGTGTAAGGGGAAGAAACTATTAGTCAACAAGCAAGTGTTTTCGAGACTATCACGTTGGACCAACTCCAGACAGACGTCTTTCGAGTTAGAGACACATTTTGGTTTTATTTTGTAGATAACTTGGTTGGAAACAAAATTTTAAAACTTTTTTTATTGTTCATCACCACTGTTTTATTACTTCCCTTTTGTTACTATTAATTGTTAGTGTTGCCCTTGACTTTTTCGGCAGCTATATCCGGCCTTACATTGGTGATATGATACTGAACTCCAAACTACTAGTCACATTTTGCGACGTTGATATATTTTATCAAGCCGGACAACATGGATTATTAGTTAAGATGACAAAGTACTTGGGCGCGTATTTGTGTTGCGTTTCCAATGTATGAACGTGACGCTATATTGTGGGTACCAACTTGTTTTTAACGGATAAGTGTAGAAAGATTTCACATACATCAAAAATTAGATAGACATACATACTATACAAGTAAGTTAAAACTAGTCATACTAGATTTGATGCGCCGAGTTGTGGAATTAGGTTCAACTAAGAAAGAACCACTATATTAAGCTTTTCTTCTTCTCGAAAATCTGTTTCTACTAGACTGAACGTAATCGTCATTTTGCTAGTTTAAGTTATAGCACTTAAATTAACATCAATGTTCAGTTACTACCGGAAAAACAAACGCACCGATGGGATGATGCTTTTGAGGTTGAATAAGGGCTCTGTATAATAATGAGGGATTGAAAAATACATATTATTGTCGAGAAACGAATACCAGAACCTTCCCGAATCTAACGACGATATAGACTTTACTCCATTGTCTTACTTATACTGATTGCAAAGTATGTAACTAGGATTCACAAGACTATATATAGTCTAACCTATAGGGTAGCCCACTGTGATTAACGCGATTTTAGTAGAACTAGTACTGTCCAAAGAGAGTGTCAAAACAAGCTGTTAGATACAGCAATACGAATATTTCAGAGGTTTGCTGAAATATCAAAAGAATAAACGTTAAGTGAAGGCCATAATTACCATTTCTCAGTGAATAAAAAAAATTCGAAACCAAGGACTAATATCCACGTTGACACCTCATCTCAATGTGCCACAGAATTATTTATGCCCAAGCAACCAAGAATAATGAGAAAGAAAGCGTTAACTTATGAGAAAATTCGGATTGCTATAGCCAGATTAGTCTCAGTCAGCTGGTCTGATATCGTCACCTGTCTATAAGATGGTAAACAGCATAAAAATAACAAAAATAGGACACTGCAGTGGACGTCTGAACACCAAAAACTAACCAAAGGGCATACGCCAACTTTTGTAACGCCTTTGTCAAACGTAGAGCAAAACGCAATCGTTCTTGCAGTCCAACATCAGTTTCAGTTTGAAAGGACATGAGGCTTGATGACCTTTGCTAGTCCTGGCAATGATGGTCTATCATTCAATTCAATTTTTTTCGAAAGAATCGACAGATGGAGCCTCAACCACGTGTTGAGGTAATGAATTCCACTCGTTGATGATTCGATGGGAAAGTCGATAGTCAACTGACAAGTAATTTGTTCCGGGCTCGTGAATTTTTTCGGAGTGTCCTCGTAAACTTTCTGTCTTCGGGGACAAGAAAAATCAGGGCATGTCAGGCGCAATATTATAACTAAGTAGTTTGAATACTGCTGTAGCGGTAAATAAATCCCCAAAATAAATATCTCTGTACGTTTTCGACATTGGATGCTGACCATATGCTTTAGTGGACTCATCTAGCTGAAGGCGCTCGGTCAGGCATCCGCACCAGATCACGTGTGGTAACGCCGTGCTCAACATCAACCCCAATCGCTAGCCAGATTAGATCAGAGAATTCCGATATATTGGTCAACGCCAAATATACTCTTCCGATCTCCTCGACTCTGTCTTTTGATTTCTCTGGGCGGGAACGAAATATATTAGGTGTTACTGGTAGAAGCGTTGTCAAACACTGAATACCTGTGCCAATATTCATTGGTGAGACTGACGTGATCTGGTACACCTAATTGCAACTGTGAGTCTGTTTCTTTTGGGGATTTTTATATATCATTGCCTTTTTTAAACATTGTGATTTTTTTCGTGTTTTTTTCATGGATACATATATATTTCCCCCTCGTTCATTATCGTATTTCATATATCATCATGACTGAACAGACACCCAAAGTACTCAAGCTTAAGACTTTGTCCCCGCCTTCGTTTCAACTGATGCCTTTCGGGCCCGACAACATCGAAGCCTGGTTTTGCTACGCAGAAGCCGACTTCTCCGAGCACGGCGTGTTCGACACACGTGCACAATTCCTCGCAGTAGTCAAGGCACTACCGCGAGAATTCAACAGGTACGTAACACCTAGTATGTTTACTAGTGATGTTTCCGATCCTTACGAAATCTTAAAACGCTCGATTCTTAAACGAGGAGACCTAACTCTTCAATAACATCGACCTGCAACACGGCTTTGCGACGGACATGTTGCAAAGAATGGGAGAGGTTATAGGCCCAAGAACTTTCGACGAAGGTCTATTCAAACAACTCTTCTTATCAAAACTTCCCCAACAGGTGCAAGCAGTTCTGGTCTCGTTCCAGAACAACGCCTTAGACGAGCTAGCTGCATCTGCCGACCGCATTTTAGAAATTACGAAACCTTCTACTACCGAGGTATTTTCAGTCAAAGAAAAGCCTCAAACGACTCAGAATGATATAACCGAGTTATGTCACACACTCACGCGTTATCTTAGTCTTCGTACCGACCGTAAGAGATCGCGCACACCACGTAGAGGCATTTCTCGTAAGCGATCTGTCTCGACACCACGAGAGACAGATAACCCCGACTGGTGCTGGTATCATAACCAGTATGGAAAGCTCTCCAGAAATTGCAGAAAACCCTGCAATTTTCCCAACATGAAACCGAGTGACTCGAAAAACAATTCGGGAAACTTCTAAGCCGGCACGCGTTAACGGCAACCGTAGCCGGCGAACAAAGCCGTCTGTTATTCGTCACAGATGTGACAACGAGAGTTCGCTACCTCGTCGACACTGGCGCAGAAGTTAGCGTTCTCCCAGCAAATCCTAACGACCGGCTTCACGAATCGACTCTAAACTTACAGGCGGCAAACGGAAAACCGATCGCTACGTATGGCAAAAGGTACGTTTACCTTAACGTGGGTTTACGCAAACCCATTCACTGGATCTTCGTTGTTGCAGATGTTTCTATGCCAATCATTGGTATGGACCTTCTACAACACCATAATCTGATCATCGACACTCGCAAACGGAGGCTAGTAGACGGAAACACTAATTTGTCCGTTTGCGTAACTTCCTTTATGGTTGTAGATTATCCCGTCACAATTAAGCATATGATAAACCCACTCTATCAACCACTACTCGATAAGTACCCTGGGATACAACAAACTCAACCGAAACTACCGTGTGTAACCAGGAATGTTACACATCACATCACGACTACAGGACCACCTGTATTTTCTAAAGCACGACGACTAGCTCCCGAAAAGCTAAGGTTAGCGAAAAATGAATTCGATCACATGATAGACTTAGGGATCATACGACCGTCAAGTAGCCCATATGCATCTCCGTTGCACATGGTCCCTAAAAAGGACAGCAACGATTGGTGTCCAACTGGTGACTATCGGCGATTGAAGGCGAAAACCATTCCCGATCGTTACCCGTTGCCTCACATTTACGATTTGACAGCTACTTTGAAAGGTACAACTGTCTTTTCGAAAATCGACTTGGTTAAAGCGTATAACCAAATCCCTATGGCTACTGACGACATACAGAAAACAGCTATCATAACTCCCTTCGGACTCTATGAATTTTTGCGAATGCCTTTCGGTCTAAGGAATGCTGCTCAAATATTCCAAAGATTCATAGACGACGTTTTTCGAGGTCTCAACTTCGTACACGCGTATGTTGACGACTGTCTAATCGCAAGTCCGGACAGAGAAACACATCTCAAGCATCTGGATCTTGTTTTCGAACGACTACAAAAACATGGCATAACTGTAAACGTTCAGAAATGCCAAATTGGAACCGACTCATTAGACTTTCTGGGACACACTATCGATGCTCAAGGTATCCGACCCCTTAGAACCAAAGTGGCGGCCATTCTGGATTACCCAGAACCGACCACCATCAAGCATCTAGGAACGTTTAACGGCCTTATAAGTTTCAATAGACGTTTCATACCGAAATGCGCATTACTTATGAAACCTCTGACCGACCAACTTCGTGGAAATGCGAAATCCATTAATTTGGACGACAACGCACGAAAAGCATTCTCCACAGTTAAGGAACTGATTGCTAAAGCAACAATGCTCGCACATCAGGACACCCGAGCACCCATTAGCATCGCAGTAGACGCATCCGACTCGGCAATCGGTGGCGTCTTACAACAATGGGTTAACAACTCCTGGCAACCCTTGGCATTTTTCTCTAGAAGGTTGCTAGACACCGAATCGAGGTACAGCACATTCGGTAGGGAACTCCTAGCTATGTATTGTGCCGTACGGCATTTCCAACACTACATCGAAGGTCGTGAATTCACTCTTTTCACCGACCATAAACCGCTCACTTTCTCGTTAAGCTCTCCTTCTGACAAGTACTCTCCCCGTGAGTCTCGACAACTGGACTACATTTCGCAGTTTACCTCAGACATTCAACATATCTCTGGAGCAAACAATGTAGTTGCAGACGCTTTATCTCGCATAACTTCCTTGAACAGTTTCCAAAGAATCGACCTTCTTAAACTCGCCGAGCTTCAAAAAGAAGACACTGATCTTCAGCACGAGTTATCGTCCACAACACTTAAACTACGCATCAAACAGATGGGAACAGGTAAGGAAACCTTACTTTGTGACACAACTACAGGTAGGGATCGCCCAATCGTGCCGAAATATCATCGACGCAATGTCTTCAACACATTGCACAAACTTTCGCATCCAGGTGTTCGTGCAACCATCAAGCTTATAGCAGAACGGTTTTGCTGGCCTGGAATGAATAAAGACATGAGGGAGTGGGCACGCTCCTGTGTAAGCTGCCAAAAATCTAAGGTTATCAGACACAATAAATGTCCCTTAGGCTCGTTTAAAACTCCCGATGCTCGTTTCGACCATGTTCATCTGGATTTGGTAGGACCTTTATCAGATTCAAATGGATACGTTTATACTTTAACTTGCGTAGACCGTTTCACTCGATGGCCAGAAGCAGTACCTATCAAGGACATCACTGCTGAAACAGTGGCCCGCACCTTCGTCGAACGATGGGTAGCAAACTTCGGTTGCCCTTCAACCATCACCACAGACCGCGGACGTCAGTTTGAATCTGAACTTTTCCGTCGTCTGACCACACTCCTAGGAATCACTCGCTTCCGAATGACCGCCTACCATCCACAAGCAAACGGGTTGGTAGAACGTTTTCACCGACAACTAAAAGCTTCACTATCAGCTGCAAACGTTTCACAGTGAACCGACGCTCTTCCACTTGTCTTACTAGGTATCTGCAATGCAGTGAATGCTGACATTGGATACACTGCGGCTCAACTCGTTTATGGAACGACACTTCGACTTCCAGAAGAATTCGTGGATCCTTCATCCTCTTCAATGAACATGGATCTAACCTCCTACACGAACAGGCTTACAAACGCAATGCGTTCAGTTAAACCTGCTTCCACTCGACCTCAATCAACTGATGTTTTCGTTCAACCTGACTTACGATATAGTACACACGTTTTCGTTCGTCGAAACTCGCATCGACGACCATTCGAATCAGCATACGAAGGACTCTTCAAAGTTCTTCAACGTGAATCTAAGTACTATATAGTCGACAAGAACGGAACAAACGATAGCATCAGCATCGATCGCTTAAAAGCAGCATATTTAGAAGGAAATCCCATTCACGTCGACTTTCCTTCGGTACAATCGCACAACGCGACTCCTACACTCATAGTTCCTCAACCGACAACCAACACTAGCGATGATACTCCGAATGTATCTGAAAATAAACGTAAAACGACGCGTTCTGGAAGAAGAGTAAGATTTCCAGAACATTTAAACGACTACTGCACGTAAGGCACTACTCGACATTTTATATTATCTCGATCTTTCTTTTTAACGATATATAATTTTTTTTAAAAAAAAGACTATTTTAATATGCCTATATATTTATTATTTTATTTAAAAAAAAACAAAAACAAAAAATTA